CCGGGGGGGGGGGGGGGCACCCAGAGTCCCAGGGTGGCCCAGGAAAGGTGCGAAGGACACCTTTCCATGTGGCCAAGGCCCACAGAAGTCCCTGGCCTCTGTGCCCCAGCCTCCCACGGTGGTCATCACACGCTCCTGGCCATGGGGCCATGAGGTGGGCAGGCCAGAGTCCCCTTTCTCACTACAGCTCGGCCAGGCTCATCAGGGATCCCGTCATCCTAGTGGGGGGACAATGATAAACACCTAAGTGACATATGCGGTGTGTCAGATGGTGACAAGTGCAAGAAAGGAGGAGAGGGGGTGCAGGGTACAGCAGGTGGGGGTCTCTTTTGACCGGATGGCCAGCCCACAGCAGTCTCGGCCCTGGCCTGCTGCATGTATGGCTTCTCCCAGGGGCAGGGGGCCAGGGATCCCCTCTCAGACACCTGATGGCCCCACATCTCCTTGCCTGGGCCCAGCCACTCACCATGTGCCCTGTGCACACATGTGGAGCTCAAGAAAGAAATGGCTGAAGGAGCCAGGGTGGGCGGGGTCTTCAGGATGGGCTGCAGGTAGGAGGGGCCTCATGGCTCCAGCGTTCGCTTTAGAACCTTCCCTGCCTCCCACTGAGTGACCCCCGTGGAGGTCCCTCTATTCTGCTGCTTACTGACCTCCCCAAGCCTCAGTTTCCCAACTGAGAAACCAAGTTCCACCTGCTTGGCCCTCCACCTGCAAGACTAGGTGCCCTACCGGTGCGGCTCAGTGGTTGAACGTCGACCTATGACCCAGAAGGTCATGGTTTGATTCCCGGTCAGGGCACATGCCTGAGTTGCAGGCTTGATTCCCAGGGGAGGGCGTGCTGTGGTTCTCTCTCATCATTGATGTTTCTGTCTCTCTCTTCCTCTCCCTTTCTGTCTGAACTCAATAAAAATACATATTTTTTAAAAAGGCCTCCCCCACCCCATGCCCTGTGCTGGGCTCTGAGCTCCTCCCTGCAGACAGGCCCAACTCGCTCCCCTCCCCCAGCCCAGGGCCCCAGCCTGAGCCTCCCCCTCCCTGCCCTCCTGTCACTCCGCAGACACTGCTAATCAGCCCGGGGTGCCTGTGATTGAGCTCCCAGAGATATTTTTACCTTATGCAAATAAGTGATGTCAGGTGCCCTCGCTGTCGCTGTCGGCAGCAGCCCCACCTCCGGCTGATCCCTTTCCCTGCGGAGCTGAGCATCATGGCCTCACCTTCTAGATCTCTCCAAGCTTCTTCGGGAAAATCGTCCATTAAGGGTGGCGGGTGTCCCCCCTTAGACACACACCCAGGAACCTTGGGAACAGTTTCCTGTGATTGGAAAGAGCAGGAGCTGAGGGAAGGTGCCCAGACTGTGCCTATGTCTGGTGGAGCGGAGGGAAAGGTGCCCTGGGCCACATGGCTGGGCTGGGCTGGGCTGGGCTGGGCTGGCAGGGGAGGCCACCCGCCTCCCCCAGCTGCCCCGCCCTCACCTGAGATGTGCAGCCCTCAGGCCCTGCTGGAGCCTGAAACCTTCGGCCCTGTTGGTAGAAGCAAACACCTGCCCCTCCAGGGACAGCCAGACAGCCCCGGCCCCTGTCATTAATGGCACGTTTATTTGTGCTAGGGGGGAGCACGTTCCCCCGCCCAACAGTGCAAGCGCTAGTGTCCCCACTTAGTCCTCACAGAAACCCAAGATGTGAGGCAAGTGCTCGGATAACAGGGCCACACCTCGACGAGGCTTGGCTGGATATGTTCCCAGCCCTGTCTGTCCCCAGAGCCATGGCTGTTTCTCATCTGCCCCCCCAGCTCTGCCTCCTGGTTCTGTGGCTGTTTCCCGGGCCTGAGAAGCCTGGTGGTTCTGACCATGTCTCTGCGCTGCCCTCCTGGGCCCAGCAGCGCTCCCTCCAGCGGCAGTCTGGGTGCTGCTGAGCCAGGGGTGTGGCCGGATACCCGGGGCTGGGCTGAGGGTGGCACTGAGGGAGCAAGTCCCCGAGGAGCTGGCTGTGACACTGGTGGCAGACAGATGGGGGCGTGGCCCTGGCCAGCTGACACTTGGCTGTCAGCCCAGAGCAGCCACCATGTTCGGTCATCATCCTGCCTTGTGGGCGCGCAGCAGGCCTTCAGGTCCCGTCACT